GGTTTCATTCTTACATGGCTCCACCCACGATTTCCTCCCTCGTTTACCCTCTCACCACATAGACTGTTTTACCATAAACCGTCTGCAACTGACTCTGTGCTCAGTGCCTGGGGGCCCTACTGCTTTAAATTGTATTTGAGTGAGTGCCAAGCAACAAAAAAAAAAAAACAGTGAGGCTAGTTATCTTTGAGAAATTATAAATAGTCTTCCTGTTGTCACATTCAGGAGGAAATGACTGCAGTCTGCTTGTTCAAAAACTGTGAATTTTAACTTCTGGTTTCAGCATTCGCCTAAAACAAAACTAGTTGCAAAACTGCATCATTTTCTTTTTTAATCACTTCTCTTAAGAGACTTTCTTGTTTTTATTATTCAAATTTTCTGCAAGGACACCAACTGACAGAGGGCTCAGTGTCTCTGTGTCATATCTCCCTGTTTTACATGCAGACCTGGTAAGACTTTGACATCAGTGACATCAGTAGATAACCCTCCCTCCTACCTGTCAGATCCAGCCTTTTCTAAACTAATCAGCAGAACCTGTGTGTCTCAGCAGGAGACAAATGCATCACCAGAGTGATCTGTATTGAACATTAGTGTCCAGCCAGTGAGCTTATTTTAGTTAAGCTTCTGTTAAGTTGTGTTTTTCTGCTCTTAGACAATATTTAAGAAAAAAAAGTGGATATGTTGCGCAACATTTCCAAGAGTCACATTTTAGCTGCCTTTGTGTTTCTTCTCGCTCTTTTCGGGTAAGTTTTTGTTTTTTATTTCCAACTTTAAAATAAAAAGTAACTAACTTGCTGCAGCGATAACTAAGAATGAAGTGACAATGTGACAGAAGCATGTGTTTGATGAATACGGTTCCACTCTGGGTGGGCAGCACCGGTTACGCACAGCGCAGTTGTCTGGATGTCAGGACGAGGCATCCAAAAAAAAAAGTTGTCTGCTGGTGTTGTCACTGTTGCTCCTTTTCTTGCAGTGACTTTTAACGTGCGATTTATGCTGTAAGAGGGTGTATTTTAAACCCAAACTGAACCAAGTAGTTTTGGTGCCAAAACTGAACCAAATAATGAGAAGATAGAGATAGATAGGAAACGAAAACTGTGCGAAATGAATGATAGGGCACAGGACATGAACAGAGGTCTCTTCGGTGACAGTTTGGAGACTCACAGCTCCTTTCTCACCCAGCCTGTCTGTTAACCTGCTGTAAACTCCGAAAGTTCTGCGGGTGCGCAGTATCGATGCGGGTGCGTGTCTGAGCCTGTGGGTTTGGGTCGGAGCGATGCAAAATGACAACAGTATCGTTCGTGCAACAGCTTTGATCGCTGGAATTGCAAACACTGCTCAATGGAAGTGATATACACGATCAGAAGAAGGCAAACATCATGTTGTATTCACAGACCATAAAGTTTTTAGATTAGATTCAACTTTGTCGTCATTCTACAGAGTACAAGACAACAAAATGCGGTTTAACATCTAATCAGAAGTGCAATGAATGGACAATATAAACAGAGTGGTATGAACACACAAAGTATATTAATTTAATTAATAGCTGTGGGTAACAATATAAAGATAAATAAATAAATGTACATGTAAGATAAGTGGATATAAGATGAGGTGGATGATGTATGCAGTATATACACAGTATAAACTGCTTGGCATCTCTTCCTGTCTGGTTTAGTTGCATTCAAAATAACAAATTAAATGTGTGTTGTTGTTGTTGTTTTTTTTAATCTCCTAGTTTATTTTGTGAATTTGAGGGTGAATAAAAACCCAAATTCGATTGATGTGCAACGAAATCTACAGAGAAGTGATAAAATTGCAGTCGTTTTCCATTTCTAGATGTAAAATACCACTTGTAGAAATGTGACTAATTGATCATACAAAGTACGTGTGATCATTGTTGAGTGGCAGCTATTAAGTTCCTTTTGATCTATCCATGAGCCATTATACAATTACAGAAGTGCTATTATTATGACAGTGAGGAGCCATGATAATCATTTTGTTATGAGGATGTGTCAACATTACCAGTAATGGATGGACAGTGAAGGGCCGGAGTAGCAGCCTTTTTTATGTTACGCAGAATTTATTTATTTATTTTTTTTAAAGACATGTTTCGATTCAAACCAGGCACGCTTTCATACCTTTCTTTCAGATGCAACAGAGATGTAAAGATGAATTTATCCATTAAACATGCTTTGCAAAACAGGGCAAAGTTGAAGAAATATGTGAGAAGTCTTTGTCGACTAGAGACCACTGACGTCATTTTAAGCATGTGAGGGAAAAACAGACACTGGCTGTGGTTGAGCAGAGGCGAGGAATGATGCTGAACGGCAAAGCTTATCGGAGGGACCTTTGAACAGTAGTCTTTATGAAACCTGGCGATGAACGAGGTGGAAGAGGGTTGCATCAACCTGATCGCTGGCAGGAGCAGAGAAAGGAGTGACTTTACCAATGACCAAAACAAACGGCAAAGACAAATGAAAGCTCAGAGACTGAGGTTGTGGTCAATTTGTTAAACATGGGAGGGACGTCCTCGGTGAGATGAAGCGATGAGCGAGGGGAGGGGAGACGAGGACAACATATACAGACAGTATGAGAGGCCACAGCAGTCAGTGTGGATTATATGTCATCACTGGCTGTTTATTAAAACATCTGCTGTGACTGAAAAGGGAAGAAAAAAAGAGAGAAGGGACTTTTGTACCATGATCAGGAAGTCAACCTTCCTCTGATGGAATCACTAAAATCACCTAAAATAAGACTGTAGTCTATCAAAAAGTGTCACTTGGCTCAACAGCTGCACCCATGGCTGGAGGCAACACCAGCTGCAGCACCAGAAACAACAAAAGAGATGGATTAAAAGACTTAAAGACTCAAAGAAGAACGCAGCCTATAGATCCTAATGTAAACAACTCTCAGTGCTTGACATGACATTTTTCAATTCAAAAGGGAAACACATTGTGAACGTCCATCATCCATCGCTCTTAACGTTTTTATCCCTACAATAGAAGTTGCAGCAGACACACTGTACCGATGATTACAAGATTGCCACAGCTTAGACGCTGGCACTACTTCAGTGCCCAAATGAGAAAACATTAAAATGAGAGGGAAAAAAAAAATTATATGCAAATTTGGAGCTGTGGTGAGCACACAAAGCACTGTGCTCCTGAGTGTTGGAGACACATCTATTGATCATGAGTTCATTCCTTTGTGCCTCCCACTATCTCCCCCAGGGTGCTTCGTAGCCATCCTGTGCTCCGATGACATAAGTGAAAACAGGACTTGGCTTTACAGAGGCAAGTTATTAACGGCCTGAACTAATCATTTACTGAAATGACTTCACTTTAGTATACCTACAACCTGCAATTGTACAAAACAGTACCACTACATTACATGATCTTTTCTTTAAGTCTGACATTTGCACAAGATGTATTTTGCAAGATGTGCTTATCTGCGTGAATCACCGTTCTGAGAACTTAAGATAACTGCTCCAGAGACAAAATGTTCTCCATGAATTCAGTTATGTACGAGGTGCGGGCAGATTTGTCAAAGGAACACCAACTGTGTAAATTCTTTGATGTGATCGGCCACGCCTTCGTGACACACGAGAAGCTCTGTCACGTTGAAAGACTTCATGGATCCTTGTGATTCCTAATATGAGTCATTCGAAGGTGGGCCGATCAAAAGGAGGTTTGAATGCTACAAGTTTGGCACTCGCTGTCTAGCGGTATCTGCCAGAAAGCGAAAACATCTTAGTATGCAGGAGTTTGGGTTTGAAATGCCTTTTGAGATGCAAACATAAACTTGGTGTCTTCTTCAGCACAGCGACCCTCGGAGCCACTTTGATTGGCTGAATCACCCTCCTGGCGATTATACAGTCTTGCTCCACCTGAGCGTTCCTCTTTTTAAAATGATGTTGATTGGCTTAATCTTAAGTTTACCAAACTCCGCAGACTAAAGGTCTTTCAGCTGTATTTCTGCTCTGTTCAGATTGTCGGTAGCTGGACTCCTACAGCTACGGTTGGCCACCATGTGACTCTTTTATCACATTCAACTTAAATCTGAACTTGTTCTCCCCCATGGTAGCTACAAAGTGGCCCATATAGCTCAGTTTTCCTCTGATGCTATCTAGGTTTTCAGTTGTTGCGTACACATAAGCAGATTAAAGTCTTTCCTGATGTGACACTTTTAAATCTGCTGTGTCAATCATAAAGTCTATTTCCATACCTTGCATAGGCAGTTTCACAGTCTATGCATTTGTCTGGGTCGTCCCTGTCAGTGATTTTTCCATAGTTGGCTTCATCTTCCTCATAATGTGTCATGACTTTGTTGATGACAGAAAAATGCCCCACATTTCTACAGTATGAGCAGCACACATGTCTTCTTTAGCACGAACTCATCCAGCTGAGGAGCATTTGCATCCCTTGCATTCATGATGCTTTTGCTTTGCCTGGACTCATTTTCTCTGTCCATGTCTGCTAATATGTTCCTGTTTATTTCTGCATGGTGCAACTAGTAATGTGACATGAAGTCGCATACAAGCGACGTTACGTTATTAGTTGCACCATACAGAAGTAGTAAGTGTACTTGTGCTCGTATGCCAGTATGTGACATGAAGCTATGTTATGTCACGTTCTGACTTCCTCTATTGTTTTGCCTGACACTTATGTCAGCTTCTCTGATAGCTCTTGTATATGTTTCTCCTAGCTTTCTGAGTGAGTTTATGGAGGCAGGCTTTTTTTTTTGTAAATCATGCTCAATTTCAGCACAAAATAACAGTTTTGCCCAGATGGTCTCGATTAATTGGATCACGGTTTTATACCTTTGGAAAGTGAGTCGATCAGTGGACAAGTCAGCACCTTTGCATCTTCTTTGTGGAGTTTATTTTTTTGCTGTACTGTAATGGTGAAACCTCAATCTCCATTTTGGGCATAAGGCTGGAACTTAGCCAACCTCTAGCCTCAAGCCAAACATGACTCAGCTTTACATGGAAGAGATTACACTGCCCAACAATTGTTTGTGACTGCACCTTGCACAGTTGCAATGCTATCACACAGACAGATAGAGGTATAAGCACCTGCCGATTCTGGCTGCAAGAAGTCCCAAAAAAACTGGTGGAATATTGTGATTATTCTACTTTTTTTTTTTGAATTGTCAAAAAATGGCAAATATCTGTGAAATAATATTTTCAGCTGACCTAAACACAGTAAACCAGTGTAATTTTATGGTTACACAATAAAAAAGAACAAATTACTGTTCTGGAAAAAAAGGTGGTTGATGTGGACATTAGGTTTTGGCCTTTTTTTGTTGTCAGCATGTAAATAAATAATATTAATTATTATTTGTGTATTGACTAGACTTTATCTGTAATTTAACTAAACAGAAAACAATCTGTTAAATAAAAATACCTTAAAATGTATTTACCATTTTTGAAAACTTAATATACATATTTCTTCTTTCAAATAACAGTACATATGTGTAAAGTTGTTGATTTAAATACAGTAAAAAAAAAAAAAAGTATTTTTATGGTTGAACAATGTAAAGGAACAAAATACTGTTTGTAAAATGTTATTTACAGTTGGCCCATTTTTAAAAAAATGTTTAATAAATAAATAAATCCACCTTGTGTGTTAGTTTTCACTTCCACACATGTCTGCAGGAAAACATGTTGCTACAAGGACCCACAAACACAGACTCACAAGGTGAAACAGTGATAGTTTCAGTATCGCCATAGGTAATTATTAGACTTTTTACTAAACATTAAACTTCATGGAGAATGAGCAGAGGCACTGTACGGTTGAGTCTCAGTGCTTTAATCAGTCTCTACTGACAGTCGTAATCTCAGCGAGCACCAGCTGTCAGCATCAACCATCAGACAGACAAAGACCAACATATTTGGACACTAAGTGACCCTAAAATATCAAGACCCAAGTCTTGAGGTACGTTTCCATCTCTCACACAGTATCAACTGAGCTGAAGTTATAAAAATAAATATAAATCATGGCCAGTTCATTGCCATGTATTAAAGGAAAGGTATCTAAATAATTCCCTTCATGCATGTAATAGTTTATATTAGTGCTGTAATCAAATCTGTTTAATGCAGAAAAAAGGGGGAAAAAGGAACTGAGACATTAAGAAACAAAGAGGCACAAAAAACATTCGAACGAAACACAAACAGTGAAAAAGTGCATGACTTTGAATAGTTCTTACAAAATGTGAGCACGTCTACGTGGTTTTTCACATTTGAATCCTCTCTCTGGATTCATACACCACAGCAGTCCTCTCATCTACAGACATGCTGGCTATTCTCCGATCACTAACAGGATGTGATAGACCTGTTGATGTTTAACTATAAGCAGCTTTACTTTTGTACCTCATTTGCAAGGTTCTTTGGAAGTTAACAGAGCATACACTCCAGTACAACCACTCCTATCGACTGAAAAGGGCGTGAACTGTTTGAATTCAGCAGAGGCTATTATTTACTCTTGATGCTCTATGTGATACTCCACGACACGGTGACTGCCTGTGTTCTATGTGCAGGTAAACAAATGGAAATGTTTCCTGTCAAAGCTGGTGTGCATTGGCTCCTACAATGTTTGCCCCCTACATGGGTGTTGTCTTGCAATTGGCAGAACCTCAACTGAAACCTAATAGAGTACAGATGGATTACTGATTTGATGGGAACATGTTGAACTTAACCTGACTACAGGCCAAAACAAAGGTGTCCGTGGTTTCAGTTCCAATATGCTGATGATGCTGCAGCCTGCACGACATCAGAAACTGACCTGCAGAGAATCACAGACACTTTCACAGAAGCCTATAGCCGTCTTGGACTATCATTAACCCTATTCAGGACTTTCATGTTGCCATACGTAGAAGGTCTTTTGGGGTCCATTGGTCCCCAAGACAGAATATTTGTTGGTATTCATTATAGACTTTTATATCATGTTAAATAAATGTTCTGATAAGTTGATGTATTTTTGGTTCCAAATGCATGACAAATGTCCCTCTTTTTATATTTTAAAAAAGTCTTAAAAAATAAAAAAACAATACCTGTCACCTAAACAAAATGGCCTGGGGTCCAAAAGTCCTGAATAGGGTTAAGCTGCACCAAAACAGAAGTTATGTATCACCTTGTGGATGGTACCACCTCAGCTGCCTCTCACCCTGAAATCACTCTGGATGGAACTGTCCTTAAAGTAGTCCCACAGGTGTCTTGGCAGCTGCTTAGCCAGTGATGTCACTCTTGATCGAGACAATAGGATTAGTGCTGCTACAACTGTTTTTAGCAAGCTAAGTAAACGTGTTTTTGTTAATCTCGAACTCGAGGTGAATGCCACGATACAAGTGTACCAAGCTGACATTATACCAACACTCTTGTATGGTTCTGAAACATGGATTACGTACCAATACCAAGTAAGAGAAGTTCCATCAATGATATCTACGCACAATCTTGAATAGAAAATGGTTTGATCGCATCACCAAGCTTGACCGGTGCTCTGTGGCAAGCACCAAAGCTATGTTACATTGGAACAGATTACGGTGGTATGGACACATGGTTAGAATGGACGCACTTCGTCCACCTAAACAACTTGTCGTTAGTCAGTTTTCTTCAGGAACCAGAAGTGTTGGTGCTCCAAAGAAGAGAGTTGAGGATGCCCTCAAAAAGACCTTAAAAGACTGCAAGATTGGTAATTGGGATACAGCCCCACTGGATAGACTAGTGTGGAGGAGAACAGTTTGTGATGGTGTGAGGTCCTATGAAAGAAACAGGAGGAAGACTGATGAAGAGAGACAAGCCAGGTGAAAGGCCCAAACTGAAACAGCTTCCTGGGTGGATGCCTAAACAAAACCTATCTGGACCGCCATGCTCCCGAGGAGCTGCAGTGATGATGATGAGTGCTGTACATTTTATTTTAAATGGCTAGAATTAGCTTCTTTTTTTTTTTTCCTCCATCCACCAACACTGACATAGTGAAAGTGTGTTGATGTGGACTTTCTCCGGATGTATAGGATAGAGGAGGTAGCGTGAAAGGATGGATGGATGGGGTCCTATGATAGTGGTTTTGGAAATGTTAGAGAGAAAAGTAATTACCTTTTGTAAAACTAAACAAAGCAAAGAAGAAAAAAGTCTATTGTTGGTTGCATAGAGAATTTTCACCAGAAGAATCCTCATCCGCTGAGCTGGACTTGGTGGCTGATGGAGGTGATGCAACATCTCAAACTTGAACACCAGGGATTTAGAGCATGTGCTGTCTCCTCTGATTAATTTGGGACAATTCGAAAACCGTTTTCAGATTATGTTAGAGCAAACCTTTAAATCTCCACCTTCCTGAATCCATCTCAAATGGATTGAAGTCTGTGTATGTCTGTCTTCTTCCTTCACTATTTTCTCTTTCTATTGTCATGTGGCTGCTCTTTATGTCGCAACAAAGACGAATGTTTAAAAATGGTTGACCGAATGAAGAACACGTTTATCATACTTTTTGTTTTTTCTTAAAAAAAAAAGAAAAAAAAGACGACAATGGGAGTATTAGATTTTGAGAAAAGTTCAACTGAACCCTATATTTACCAGAATAATGAATGTTCATGAAATACAGTGAAGTATGACTGACTATGCTGATCAAACCTTTCCAAAATCACACAAACTCATTTTTAAACTGTAAAAATCTGCCATTTTACAAGATTTTTCCTTTTGATTTCCAAATTATTTTCATACTTCTGAACTACATAAAAATATAATTAAAATTACAAAAACATGTAGTGAGCTTCCATGTGTAATGGAAAACATTCCAAATATGAACAGGGTTTAGCTAGACAATTTATGTTTTACCAAGGTTAAAAATAATTTGCGAATGTATTGTCTTTTCATGTGTTTTTTGTAATATAAGCAAAATCCAATTTTATCTTAAATGTATGTCGGTAGGTGGCAAAGTACAAGAAAAATCATTTCATTTGAAGTGTTTACTCAACACAAATGCATATTGTGTGTCTATAACAAAACATTATCCTTACATCTCAGCATGCTGATAACACTTTGCAGCATAAATGTGTATGTGTTGAACTTCAAAACTGTATGTGTGTCTTCACAGGGGCATCTATGTCTACACGGGAGGCAGCACCTCAACATTCAGGTAAGTACAGCTGAGTTTTCTACAGCACAGTGTTAAAAAATAACAAAAACAAACACCCACCAGTTCATGTCAAACTTTAAGTAGTCACATATTTTGTTACTGGATTGTAAAAAACAAAAAAACAAACCAGGTATCACTTCTATTAATTCATTCTTGTCGTATAATTAGAATGTATTGTTTGCTTCCTCTTTAAGCATTTGCCCGCCGTGTTATGAAGAGCCTGAGCCATTTGTGAATAAAGCAGTGACAAATTGCCCGGGCAATGGCAGCTGGAGGATCGGAGTCATGAAAATGCAAGCTGGGTGAGGATCCCTTTTCTTTTGGCTCACAGAGAGGAACAACTGGTTCAAAGAGAAACATGTACAATGTCATGTGCATGTTCCTCCTGGTTTACCATTATTACTTTTGCTCTGAGCCCTGGAGCTGTTTGACCTGATTTGCCACTCCTAACTCCAGTGAATATCAAAGGCACAGCACCACAATGAGACTTTTATTTTTATCTGATATTGTTTCCCTTTATGATGGTGCTCTCAGCCGAGCGGACCACCCTCCGCAGGAAGGGAAGAAGTCCTGCTGGGTGCTGCTGCCCATCCAGGTGGTGATACTCCCAGCCAAAACACTCTCAATGGTGCAGGTGTAAAAGCTCCTGAGCACCTTGAGAGGGAGCTTAAAGTCCCTCAGGCGTTGGAGGAAGTAGAGACGCTGTCGAGCCTTCTTCACCAGGGTGTTGATGTGACAGGACCACGTCAGGTTCTGCGTGACGTTAACACCCAGGTACTTGAAGCTCTCCACTCGCTCCACCTCTGTCTTGCTGATCCTGAGTGGGTGGTATGCCCTCTGCTGCTTCTTGCTGTAGTCCACAATCAGCTCCTTGGTCTTGCTGACGTTCAGGAGGAGGCTGTTGTGTCTGCGCCAGTCCTCCTGATGGGCGATCTCCATCAAATAGTCCTCCTCGTTGTTGTTGGCGATCAGACCCACCACTGCTGTGTCGTCAGCAAACCTAATGATGGTGTTAGAGTCTGATGTGGACAGGCAGTCATTGGTGTACAGTGAGTACAGCACAGGTCTCAGCACACAGCCCTGGGGGGCACCGATGTTCAGGGTGTGTGAGGGAGACCGGTGATTCCCCACTTGAACCACCTGTGGTCAGCTGGTCAAAAAGCTGTAGACCCACCTGCACAAGGAGGAGGTGAGTCTGAGGTCCTGCAGCTTAGTGACCAGTCTGGAGGGAATTATGGTGTTGAACGCTGAACTGAAGTCCACGAACAGCATTCTCACATAATTCCCCTTCCTAGTGTCCAGGTGAGCCAGGGCTGTGTGTAGCAGGTGATTTATGGCATCTTCTGTGGATCTTTTTGGCTGGTATGCAAACTGTAGGGGGGTCCAGGGAGGCAGGTAGGGAGGAGGTGAGTCTTTCAAAACATTTCATAACACAGAGGTAAGGGCAATGGGCCAGTAGTCATTAAGACAGCTGGGCTTGGCTTTTCTGGGGACAGGAACAATCACAGATTGTTTAAAGCACCTGGGGATGATATTTCCGTGAACACTGGTGCAAACTGGTTGGTGCAGGTTTTCACAACATGACCGGTTATACCGTCAGGTCCTGCAGCTTTCCTGGTATTCACACGCTGAAACATCCACCTCACATCATGCTCTGTCACGGTACACGTCTCCTCCTCTCTGCCGGGCTGAATGTGCGCCTTTTTTGTGGGAGCCTCGAAGCGCGCATAAAAGTTGTTGAGTTCGTCGGCCAGAGAGATGTCAACACTCACCATGGGCATCGGTGTTGCTCTGTAGTCTGTCACTGTTCATAGTCCCCTGATGTCCCTCTGCTGCAGCTGTGACTCCAGCTTCTCCCCGCATCTCTGCTTGGCCTCCCTCACGGCTCTGCAGATGCTGTACGTAGCGGCAGTACAGTCCAATGTCTCCGGTAGCGAGTCCTTTGTTGTAGGCGGCGGTGCGGGACTTCAGAGCGTTGCGGATGCCTTTGTTCATCCATGGCTTCTGATTGGGAAACTCCCTGATGGTTCTTTTGGGGATAGTGTCCTCCACTAGTTTCCCAATAAATCCCACAATCGCCTCCGTAAACAAACTGACGTGACGTCGTCACCGGAGCTGTGTTGGAACATGTCCCAGTCGGCTGTCTCCAAGGTATCCTGCAGGGCGGCCTCTGATTGGTCAGACCAACACGACACTTCTCTCTCCACCAGGGCTGCCAGCTTCAGCCACTGCTTGTACCTGGGCAGAAGGAGAATGGAGGCGTGGTCTGACCTGCCGAATGGTAGTTTTGTCTTTGCTGCATAGCCGTCTCTAAAGGGAGAATAACAGTGGTCCATACACTGTATAAAAGATGGATCTAGCTACCGTGACATCACCCGTTGGTTTCTGCACTGAGAAAATGAAGCCAGGGTTAGGGTTAGCTACTTCCTGGTTGACATCTTAGATTTTTGGAGCCAGTGACGCAAAAATCGTCAGAGGGGGGCGGAACCATAGGAGGAGCGATTGGTCAGACGGATTGAGAGGCGGGCCCTCTCTGCCCGCCCACATTTACCGCCTTCTGCTCGCTTCATCTGCATCGTCGCTGCCGACTGTCAATCAAGCCAGTCCCACCCCTTGCCCCGCAAAATGTTGATGATTTTTTAAAAATTCACTATTGATTTATTTTCAGATTGGCCACCTGATCTCTGGATTTGACCATGAAAACTAATAAGAAAAAAATCCTGAGCTGTAGGATTGCAGTATTTCATGATCTTCTGTGATCACTTCTTTTCCAATTCATTTCTATGGGAGCCAGGGCTTTTTGGAGCCAGTAACTAGTGGACGTAGTGATATTGCAGGTTTTTCACACTTCCGGGTTGGCTTCATTCTTCAGGGCCGGTTGCTACATCCATCCTTTATACAGTCTATGCAGTGGTCCAGAGTTCTGTCTCCTCTGGTGGGCAAGACGATGTGCTGGTGGAGTTCTGGCATCGCCTTCCTCAGATTAGCACTGTTAAAATCCCCGGTCATGATGAGGGCTGCCTCCCAGTGGTTAGTCTGGTAGCTGGAGATAGCCTCATGTAGCTCGGCTAATGCAGTGTCCATGGGACTGGACATTCGTGAGCAGGATGTTAGGCAGTGGTGGTCGGTGTGCTCATAGCCTCAACCTGTTTCTAATGCCAGCTCGTTTACCCCGGGGCCTGCTACGCTGCCAGCATCCTGTGTTGTTGTTGCTGAGGGGTCCCCGCCAGGACGCATCGGCAGAAAAAGTGGTGTATTGTAGTGAAAAACCAATGTTCACCAGTGTGTCTCTGTCGTATTTGATATGACGAGGACATGACATGGTGAACGCAGTGCAAAAAGATAAATAAAAAGTTAAATAATAATAAAAAACAGTTGTGATGGTGCCGGAGCAGGTACGACGGCTGCCACAATCACAGGCGCGATCTGGATCTTGATATAGTTCTGGTTTCATGATTGTTGTCTGTCTTTCATGTATTTCTTGTTTTACTTGATTTTTAACTTCACTGTTCTCTCTGTGTACTGCATTTATCCTGTTTTCAAATTTACCAAATGAATCTCCTCTTTTGCATAAGAAAGTAAAATCTGATCCTTGCTCTTCTTCTCCAGACTGCAGTATCCTCAGCCAAGCTCACTGAAAGGGTAAGCTGTTAACAGTATTATATCTACTGTGCAATACTAATTCTTACTTCTTCAAAATCACAAGATTAAATACAATCTTGTGCTCTAAAACATCTCCCGTTGGTGCTTTTGTGACGGTTTAAAGAAAAAGCTCATCTTTGATTGGCCATGAACTGAAACATTGGGCTGAAACATTCTGAAATTCTGAGGAGAAAAATTTGTTGTGTTGCCATGTTGTTTAACATGAAGATATTACTTTGTTAAATATTTAAGCATCTAATGAAGGTAAAACTATGTTCTTCAGAATTGATAACAAAATCTAAAGAAATCAGCCACGATATCAGGAAGAGAATTGTGGACCTCCACTAGTCTGGTTCATCCTTGGGTACAATTTCCAGATGCCAGAAGGTTCCACGTTCATCTGCTCAAACAATTAGCCGCAAGTATAAACGCCATGGGAATGTCCAGCCATCATTGCGCTCAGGAAGGAGACGGGTTCTGTGTCCCAGAGATGAAGTGTTTTGCGAAATGTGCGTATCAACCCCAGAACAAAAGCAAAGACCTTGTGAAGATGCTGCTGAAGCTGGTCAGAGAGTGTCTTTATCCACAGTGACACCAGTCCTGTACCGACATGGGCTGAAAGGATACTCA